GCTTGGTGGCTCACAGCGACTCGCAGGGGAACCTGGAGCTGGGGTTTTTGCTGTGTAAGTGAATTCACTGTAACCAGATTATTCCATTCAGCGGAGAAACGCCACCAATTCTGGGACAAACTGCCAAACGAGTTGTCAGCAATACAGCCAAACCACCACCAGAGCAGACCCCATCCCAGAGCGTGCCCAAGCCAACCGCAGGCGGCCCCAGGACCGGGTTGCCCGTCCTGCCCCCACCAAGGCACCCCGCTCGCCAGCCCCCCCAGAACTAGTGCCAGGGCTCCTCTGGCGAGTCCCCGAGTTTGCTGATTAGTAAAGTCCCGGCTCAAAGCCCATTTACGGCCACGGGGAGCCTTCCCTTGGCTCGGGTGCTCCTGGGCTTACGTCACAACACTCATTCAGGGGAAAACGTCTCTCACACAACCGCTGCCGAGGCGTGACGCTTCGCGGGGTAGAGTCACTGTTTTTCTAGTCCCCCAGCTACGTTTCATTCTTTGCTCTTATTGAACTCGAGGCAGCCTAAGCCTCCCACAAGGCTGCACAAATGACTGATACGGTCAGACAGAAAGAACAAATTATGAAATGAAAACATCAGGGTTGCTTGTACGCTAGACACTTGCCACCTCCTCCCTTAAGCCCCTGTGATTAAAAACACACAGAGCTGCCTGGTGGAACACAAAACCCACAAAAAAACGAGAGCGAGCACGACCCATGCACTCATATCCTGGCAATTTATGGGAATTGTCATAACATGCACAGAACAAAAAAGTCCAAATTACAACATCTCTGCACAGACCCAGCCCTCCTTTCATTACAGCACTTGAGCACATCCACAAGTCTGCTATCGATGGGCAAAGATGTAGCTTACAACAGGTATGTGCTCACCTCCTGCCTGGAAAAAAACAGACCACAAGTGCTGCTTTAAACAGATGGGCTGTTAAATCAACACCTTAGAATATCTCCTTTATTTTCACAAAACCTTTTGGTTTAACAGGATTATCACACAGTGAACTCTAGTTTCATTAAAATACCCTTAATTTGGTATAGTTCAGAGGAAAACTGCTCCCTCATGCTTCCATACCCACTCCCAAGGGTATACTGAATCTTCTGACAGAATTTTGTTAATGTTTTAAAATCAGGGCTCAGCTATGGCTCCCAGCCTTGATCTCCTTACTCATCACCATGCCATCCTCTCTCGAAGGCGAGTTCCCATCGTGGTTGTCCCTAAGGCACAAGCTCACCCCAAGATGACAATTACTAAGACATTCCTAGGTTTTTCATTAAGTTGTTTTGCATCTGTAGGCAAATTTCCTTCTCTTTGATAGCATGATGGAAGCTGATTTTATTAAATCCTTGAGTTCAATAAATTCATTTAAGGAGTTTTTCTTTGAGGAACAGGCTGGAGCAGGAGAAACAGGCTGGCAGAGAATCTATCCCTTACTGGGAAGCACAGTAGAAGTGTTAAGAAGTGTTGACGCAGTCACTGGAACTTGGACATTTCCAACTCCTGAAAGCTCAAGAGCTCCAGATCTATACCTGGAACACGGAATGGTTTAAAGAAAGAAATTATTCAATTCAGCAAATAGGTTATACTTCTTTAAAAAGGCTTATTCCAAAACCTGAGGCAGATCTGCTTACGTAAGAATTGTAAAAGTGAAAGGTCCTCAGAGCACCTTTGAAGGAAACTGAATGGAAAGCAAAAAATACCTTCTTTTTGTTCCTGATGAGGAATTTAACATTAAAAAGTCACCGTTTGTTCCAGTTAGTCCTTCTTAGTGTACTGCATCCATATTTTGTTCTGAAAATACATAACTCCAAATGTTTCATTCTAATAATTTTTTTTTTCAACTTGTCAAAATAAGTTGCATCAAAACTGACACACTGGCCTAGCGAACATTCATTTATATAAATTTGAAGCTGCATGATCGAGGAGTAATTAATCTCAGATTTTAATATTCAAGACATGTTGAAAGTTAGTATTTACTGCTTTTCTGAAGACAAGAAGTCCATGTTGCCTGTTGTTTCTTTGCCCTGACTGTTTTCATCCTACTCTTTTAGTGATCTTGCAAACCAAGAGCACAATGACAGCATCACAATTGACATCTACAGATAAAAAATTCCACTGGCACCTTCGACTTTCAAAAGTCAAGTCCTAGGGAAGGTGCTGCACCTCCCACCTGCAGCCCTCTCTGCATCGACTGCCTAGGGAGGGGGTTGAGTCGCCATCCCTGGATGTGTTCAAGTGTCGTTTAGATGGGGTGTTGGGTGAGATGGTTTAGGGGTGAACTTGTAGTGTAGGGTCAATGGTTGGACTCGATGATCCCAAGGGTCTTTTCCAACCTGAATTGTTCTAGGATTCTATGATCCCTGTGTCGCTGCTCATTTTTAGACCTGCTTTGTTCCTCCAGAACGCCAACTGTAGTGGGTCTCAACGACAGCTCTGACTCACGCTCACCGAGCAAAATAACTTCGCCACATTTCAGGGGTCTGTCTGGGTTGTGGGTTTTTTTAAAAAAGAAAAAACCTCACACAAGCCTGCCCCACTCTTCTGCAGCGGTTCCCTCCTCCACACACTGCAGAGTCTGATGTCCTCGCACTGCAGGACTTCAAGGTACAGAAACTGCGGGAGAAGGACGCAGCCTTCCTCCACACCAGGATGTGGCACAGTCTGTTCACAGGGGAGTACGGAGTAAAACTCACTACATCCCTACACAGATGTAAGCCAGTGGTTAGTAACTGACCAAGACAAGTGAAGATTCAGAAAAGGATTAATATTAATCGTTGCTCCCAAAGTCCTGCCTAGCAGGAGTTATTTGAGAAATACTGCCTGTTACAGATGCTGGTGCAGGGTTAGTGTAGTCCTGCACACGGGCTGCGCGAGGCCAACGTGCAGAAACATCTGCGAAGGAACTAGTCTGGTGCAGAGCATGGCACAGCCCTACTGCCAAGGGCTGCATCCGAACAGGAAAAGTCCTCCCCCTCGGTAGGGTGGCATTAGCCCAGCGAGGCCGGCAAGCCTGCGGGCAAACGCTCGAGCACAGCTCCATGTCACTTGAGGACATCAGCTGAGAGAGACTTAGACACACAGAAAGTTTCAGACAGTATTTACTGCAGAATTAAATAACTTGTCCTAATACTATTTTGGCATCCCTAAGTGCACATTCACTACCACCACCCTTGCTTGGATAAACACGGGGGCTCACGCTGAAATGCAAACCGCATTAGTTCACTGCTGGAAATAACAGGAAAAACGTCCTTAGCGTGGTGCCTTAAATATTTTTTGAGGGCAGTTTGCAGAAGGCAGAGAACTCCCTCCCTGCCTAAAAACCCTCTCCCCCTTTGCTAAATAAGAGTCTTCTGAAAGCCACAACAGCTCCTGTAACTTTAAACCTGGGCTGAGATCATAATTTTAGCACTGACCAAACAGAGTGCAGAGGGCGGGCCTGGCTCTTCGTTGAGGACCACCGTAGGCAGCTCCCACCCCTCGGCCAAAGCCAATAATGCCGACTCCGCTCCGTTTCCACTAACAGCACAGTGATCATCGGGGAAAACCTTCCCCCTCTTTAGACGACAGCAGTTCAAGGAATATTTGGAATACCAAAGTGGTTTTTTGCAGCGATTTCTTCTCATGATCTCAAGACTCTCCTGCCTCTAAAAAAAAAAAAGTAATAATAAAATTTGATCAGACTTTGAATCAGGTCTCAGGATTGGAAAGCGATTCTCCAAGCAGATCAGAGATGTTTACTAAAGTTCAATTCTTCATCTTCGTTCTCGGGAGCGTGCCTTTCATAGCACTTGCTGAAGAAGGTAAGAAGAAACTTTGGCTAAAATTATTTCCAGTCATTTCCTGTAATTTAACAGTTTGCTTGCTTACTCATAGGCAATGTAATTGCTCTGTGCTGTTTATAGAACTTTCTTTTGAATTCTCTAAGCTACTACTCGGCATCTACTGTGCCCGTAATCAGGAAAGAAACATCACAAGTTTTCAGACGGGCTGAGTGACGCTATATTAGAGAAGAATTTTCTGCATGTGTCTGCAGGGGAAGGAGCAGGGTGCAAGCAGCCAGGGAAGGCACAACACCAACCGCCCTGGGAAGCGGCTCCAGTTTCACTGTAAAATAGGCAGGGGAGACTGCAGCCAGTAATTTCGTTGTAACTGACATTTTGGTGGTGAAGCTCTTTATGAAAGTACCTTATAAATCTTCCCATTCAAGGATTCAGCTTCTGCGCTCAGAGGCTTTACAGCAGCTTAGAGCTCGAGTCCTGCGCGGGGTTTTGCTAATGCTAACTTAGTCATAAGCAATACATACGAGTGAGGGAAACTAAACCAGGAAGAATTATTACTTAAGACAGATTTGAAAAGTGTTGCGTAACTACTCTGAAAAAGTTTATTCAGCAAACTATTTCTTCTGGATTTTTGTAAGAAAAATACACACTTTTAGGTAAAACAGATGCTGAAGTCTGTTTACAGCTAAAGGAGAAGAGTCTCATCAACAGTAAATCAGAATTACTTCCAGCAGTGTTTGATTCCAGGAACATCACATTCAAATTCGGTCTCTCTGCAGAGTATCTGATTCGTTACAAATTAATTGGCCATCAGGCGACTTGCCCGATGTCTGAGGCATGCACAAATAAAGCATGCCTGCAGTGAGACACAGCGACCGCTGCTACGGAACGTGTTCCGAGTACCACTGCTCTGAAAACAAGAACCCAAAACAACTTGTTGGTCATCCAAAGCATAAATCTACTTGTCTGACTTGGATTTGGGGACCTTAACTGAAACATATAACCCAATTTTGGCCTGGTGACCATCAATATCACTCTGCCGGAAATAACAGAGCTGTATCGATACACAGGATGTGTCCCTGTTGGCTTGAAACTTGTAATGGGAATTCCTGGTGTTCTGTGTGTCAGAACATGAGATGGAAAGTTTAGAGTTGGGCTCCAAGATTCCACAGAAAATCTAAAATCAACAGATGAGGCAAGTCACAAATGCTTCTTTCTAGGCTCACTCAACTAACTTATCCTCAAAAATCATCAATATTAAATATACCAAAGCTTAAAGCCATTAGAAATAGGGCAACACCACCATCATTTTAAAGAATTACCACAAGCAGTTTCTAGGATACCAGAGTTATCAGAAAAAAGGTCTTTCATCTTCAGACTTTTGGGAAGCTTAAGTGTATTTTCTCTCACCTCAGAGGAATCCAGCAACAATCAGGTCGAAACCATATTAGTCAGAAAAATGTTCAAATACTTCCTGCTTGCAAGATTGCACCTCTGTTTTATTCCCAGTATAATTTGCACTGAACTTCACAGCTGGACCTCAAACATGGTTTATGGTACTTTAGGCTTTCTGTGGCTCTTTGGGGTTTAGACTTTTTCATCACATGGAGACAGCCGTGTAGGATAACTTCCAAAGGACATGACTCCAGATAGAAAATAAGCAAGTCTAAATACTTAATTAGCAGTGTATCACTGCTGTGTACTGATAGCCACTGGCAATTTTAAGTTAGAACAGACTTAAATGACAACTGCCTTTGGCAACCTGTGCCTGCACCAACACGGAAAATGGGAGAATTGTGTTGGCTTCTGCAGCACCAGGTGGAGTGGGTAGATTGAGGTACCCGACCCTCCTGGGGAGACAAGCTGGCCTGCAGGTTTTAGAGGAAAAAGTCTCCTTATTACATTCTGATACCTCTTAACCCTTATCAGGCTATAAATAAATCTGCGGCTACCTTTTTGTTCTATTTGGGCACTCCTTTTTAGGGACTGAGATTGAATTAAGAAACGCAGGTTTGTCCTGATCAGGAAGCGTATTTCCAAGTTCTTCTTGAACTGCCAAATCAATTCAGCTGTTGATCCTAGTTTTAAGCATAGCAGCTTTCCCCTCCCAGGTAGCGATCCACAATCTGAGTATCTGCTACATTGGAGTTGCTGCAACTTTATGAAAAAGCCAGAGGTGCAGAAACCATTTCAGGACAACTGTAAAGTGATTGAAAAACAGCAGTTACCACTGACCCAAATACAGGACTGCCAGCCAACCTATAAACAACATTTCAGAGAAGCCTATGAACATTTAGGGAAAAGTCAGACGTGCTTAAAGATTCTTTGTTCACAGAGAGCATGCAAATGACACCTAACATCAGTTACCTAAAAATTAACAAAGATTCCTGTTAACATTTCCTGGATTTGTGCTACTCTACAGGAATATTTAGTCCCAAAGTCAGCAGTGTGGTTTCCAAAAGAGAGGATAAAGGCTCCTTTTATTGGGTCACATAAAGCAAGACAGTAAGCTGTGAAAGCATAAAATATCATCCTGATGTGAAAGAGGTGAGAATTAGCTTATTAATTCACTTCGTTCTTCATATATGAGCTTCCAAATCAAATGGCATAAACTAGCAAAAATACCGAAATAAAACCTAGTAACAAATCTTACATCACTGTCTACTTAAACACATTCAAACATGCTCCATTCGTGTTATCCATGCATGGTTTAAATCCTGATGGAAACAGCCAAGTATTTCATCTTTCTTACAACCCATGACAGCCCTGAGCCCTTTATATAAGCTGCCGAGTTTTTAGCCTAAAGCATTTCCTATTGAATGATTAGCAGATACATTTTTGTCCTTCTGTGATCCTGTTGAGCATATAAGAAGCTGGGCGAATCTTCACACCCCGGATCAGACTAAACGAGTTGAGTGGACGCTGGCCTAACTTTTTCTGGGACCAGCATTAACCAAGCAGTTCAGAGCACAAGCGTTCCAACGAATGCTTGACAGAGGCAGCACACTTCCGCACCTGAAGCCTTCCCCATGGTGCAAGCGTTATTGCAGAGAAAGAGATTCCTCTATCGGCTGTCACAAAACACGAACAAAAGCGGTTCATGGTTGTTTAACAAGTTACCACATGTCACTTGAGCTCTATCAAATGCCCACAGGCCTAATCTCACCTAGAGGCAAATCGACTAAACCTCCTTACACAAGTCAGTTAAACAGGTTCGTACTAGGTCGTGTTACTTCACATTTGTTTTGGACTAAGAGCAAGCACAGGGACAGGATAATTCAATATAGAAGTGTTTGTATGGTAAGAAAGGAAATTGAAGCTTACAGTCAGCCACAAAAGGCTAAGAAGTTTCCTACGCTTTTCAAAATCAGAGAAACCAGAATTGACCAAATCACAGGAAAGGATTTTTTTACAAGTATTTCAATTTACCCAAACTCTTTTGCCATTTTTGTGGCAAAGTAAAACAGCCAGGCAACTCTACTGAAAAGTCAAATTCTGGAAGAGCTGGTAGCAAATACAGTGACAACCAAAATGAACAGGCCCAGTGACTCAAACTGGAGCCAGTTTTCTACTAAATAAGCCTGACAAAACCTTTTGCCCTGCATCCGGCGGCCCCATGAATGACAAGTGCACTTGTACATGTCTCTCCCTGTGTGCCTCTTGTAATTCACATTAGCACGATGGGAATCTAGCTCTACATGTCCAATAGCCAAAACATAATTACCAGAAAAAAAGACATCATACTGGATCTCAATTAGCGGGTTTGCAAATTAGAGAGTCTGTATTTTGCAGTGTCTTAGTAGAAGACCTGTAGAAAACAGATAAAATTTGCTTTCTCCTCTTCATTGGGAAAGCAGAGAGGCTTGCCCACCAGTATCTCAAAAGTTTGGTTTTGAATCTGAGCAGCTTCACAAGCAAAGGAAACAGTCGTACTTGAAAGCTCATGAGAGGACCTTTAATTCAACTCTAGATTCACAGTGAAAACTTGAAATGGAGAGCCCACATTCTCTTGTAATTCGTTTCCATTGAGCCCAAGCATTTTCCCCAGATCTAGTACTTGTAAATCATCTGCAAAAATAAGTAGCTGAGAACTTAGAGAGTTTTTTTAATAGATAATAATAATAAAAACCAAACAGTAAAGGAATGTGTTCTGTGTGGCTGCCCTAGGTGCTCCTGCTCTGGCAGTGGGGCTGGACTAGATGATCTCTAGAGGTCCCCTCTAAGCCCGGACACGCTGTGATTCTGTGACAGCCTGTAGCACACCCGCTCTCGGGCTCTGACAGAAGCACACGGCGTTTCCTTCTTGTGCCATGCGGGGCAAACTGTACCTAGACACGTGCCATGGAAAGCAGGACTGTGCGCCCAGCTCTAACGCATGGTCTGGCTCAGTTGCACGTTTGTTTTGTTGGCTTGTTTGCTTTTTGTCTGGATGTGGTCAGGGACTACAAGACAGAAGGCAAAGGCTGCCAGGTCCTACTGGTCACTGCAGCCCAGACGCGTGCGGCAGCTGCCCAAAGCGCCTCCTCCAGCCCGTGTGTGCAAACATCAAACCCTCCATGTGAAACACGGCTGCAGCCAAGCTCCCGTGGCTTGGTGGTGCACGACACGCTCCATTTCAACATGCATTTCGGAAGAAGATGTAGGATCGGGAGTATAAGTATGTTGGGATGCTTTGAAGAGAAACAAATGAGAGAAGAGACACATTTAGTAGGGATTTCCAACACACTGTCTCAGAAGCTTGGCCAAAGGCTTCAAGAGAAACTGATGCTGAACTCATTCTCACATTGCTTTATGACTTCCTCATGTTTTTCCATCTTTGTATTTGTTGATTACAAACACTACAACAGCCAGCAGAAACCATCTCAGAACAACCCTTTGTGAGGGCACAGCTCAGCTGTGCACACCATTACAGGCAAACACGTACTCTTTCAGGAGGACATTAGTATGAGATGCTGCTAAATCTGGAAAGGGGACACAACTGCGAATGCACACTGAAGTGTTCTTATGACTATGAAACCCAT